TATAATATATTAAATAATAAGGGTCTTATTACATTTTAATAAATTTTGGTCGGTATTTAGAATTTTTCCATTCATTTACTTGGTAGTAAGCATCATTAACCACCAATTTCCCATATTTATTTCTAAGATAAATCACTCATCTGCAACATTCCAATTTATTAGAAATATTATAGACTTCCAAATCAAGAATTATCTTTCTTTAATATATAACATATCCCCTTCACATTTAATATCTGAAATTTCAGGCATACCCTGTCAAATTTCCCATCCATCTTTTTTACATCTTCCGTGATTTCCAAAATATTATTTACAACATTTTCAATTTTATCACTTATCCTGAACTTTATTTTCCATAAAACCGATTTCTTCATTTTTTCCATATCGCTTTTTATATTCTAATTAAATTCCTTTCATTATTTACTTATCTCAGTTTTTAAAACAATACCTAATTCCGAATTTTTCCTATTTCTTGATTATTTACCACATTTTTATTATCTAAAATTTTAAACCCATTGGCATATTTTCCTCCTTAATTTCCACATTTACTGTAATTCCTGAAACGTAACTTGAAAGATTTTCAGTTTTACTCTTTTCCTTAAAAATGTTCGATATCCAATTCCATCCCATAACGCATTTTCTTCTCTAAAGATCCAAAAAAATGCATTGCCTCTTTTATTAACACTGGTAAATTTACCCTTCCTATAAGACCACAATTTCAGCTTCATTTAAGTGTTTTACTGTCATTTCATCTTTATATGCTTATTCGGTCATAATCTATAAAATTCCTCAAACCCCATGACTGATATAGTAATTTCTTTATTTTCCACTTCTCACATCATAATTAATATTATAATCAGTACTACTTTCTCCTTTTGATTCCCATTTTATTTTTAAAATTTAATGTATTTTTTGATATTATGTTTTTTTTGTTCAATAGGGTTTTCGATGTAATAATTCCAAAAGTTGCCCTATCACTATAATACAGTCATGCTAGGACAATCCCGCGCATAATGACCAATATTTCTGCATCGGAAACAAGTCTTTGGCATTATTTCGTTCAATTTTTAATTCCTTAGGTATTACATTATCATCCAATTTAATATCCACATTATGATCAGTAATTCCACATCTTCCACAGACAATTGGTAGAGCTCTCTGCATTATTCTTTCATTACAATCTCAGCTAATATGACTATATTTTTGGGAAAGAAAATACGACTCCCCTCGTTCCCATTATCATCTGCCAATATCTACGATCTTTTCTCCTTGATATAAATTTTGCCCTATTATTTTCATATTTAAGCTCAGTTTCATTTTTTTTATCTGCTCCTCAATATCTTTTAATTTCATTCTAATTTTTTCTACATACAATCTAAAAATTTCCCATTTTTTTGCTTCAACTTTTTCTACCCCCCCCCCCCCCCTCATTTTTTTCCTTTTTCTTCTCATTCCCTTTTTTTTATATCCTTCTTCTCTCTCTTTATTACTTCCTTAATTTCCTTTTTTTAAATTTCTTCTTATTCGATTCTTTCCATTTCCTATTATAATTTCTCTTTATTTTCAATTTCTTCTACTTCCCTTTTCACTCCATTTCTTCGTCTATTCCTTTTCTCATTTCCTCAATTTTTCTTCTTGTAATTTTCTCCATATCCTTTTTTTCCATTTTACAAATCTCAACCACTTCATCTTCTTCCCCTCCATTTTTATAATTTTACCCAATTCCAATTCTTCAACATTTCTAGGCATTTCCATTTTTTCTTTCACTTTATTTTCTTTTCTAAATTTTTCCTTTCAAATTTCTTTTTCTTAATATTTTCAATTTCTATTTCCTTTATTACTATACACTTAATCATATCTCTTATATCAATTTCATCATTTTCAAATCCCCTATTTATATTTTCCGTATTAATTTCATCTTTTTCTTTTCAGAATCTCTATGATATCTGGTTAATTATAATATTTCACTTATCATGGTCTTTAAATTAGAAGATCAAGGGCATTGAGCACAATGCATATTTTTGGCAATATATCCAAATATGTAATCTTAATTAAATCTTCATTTATAGTCATTTTGGGCAAACTCATCAGCATTATTTTGTGTTTTGATGAATGGGGCATACACATATTGAATGGGTCCCGTTTCTGCCAACAAAACAATTCTCGGGACGAAAATTACAAAATTTAGAGAATTCAATTTTAATATTTGAATGAATATCTTTAAATTTAAGATATAGCTCTCGTAAATTAATCTTTTTTGGACTTGAATCTTTTCACTATTATTCATTATAGAAAAAAAATTGATTGATAAATTTTTTTGGGTCATCTAGGGTTAGATTATTGCGATAATATGCATGTTTTTTTAGATTAAATGGGCAACATTTTGATATTTTAATATTTGGTAAGTCCATCTATTATATAGAATAAAATTATCTGTACCTAGAGTATATGTTTTTGCACTCTCAAAATCCTGAATGTTATTGGTAGACAGACGATTGTTTAAAAATAATCTGAAAGGGCAAGTTAAAAATATTATGCAGAAAGATAGATCGTTTTAAACAGTTTATTTTGTAAAATAATATGATAGTAAAATATAATCGATAATATGCCTACTAGAATATTCTTTTTTAATGCAGCTGTTATAAATTATCGAGTCATTAAGTCATTCGTTATAGTAGCAAAGTAGAGATCTAAAAAATGTAAAACTTTTTAAGGATGGTGGGGGGGTAGAACTGTAAATTTTTATCACATTTCTTATATATGTATTAATATTTTCATTTTCCTTAAGAATAATATTTTTAACCATAAGCGCTATTTTTTTTTTCATTTTTAATGAAAATGTAGATTTTGAAAGATTTGATAGCATCCCCCAAGGTTTTGACATCGTATATATATTTAGCAAAGGTGTCAAAATAAAATGCATAAAAAAATTTCTAAATCAAACTCCCTTTTTTGCTTAAAAGCACAGGTAAAGCAAAATAGGTAAATTGGAAGTTAACGGCTCAAATTGGCACCAATCTTTATTATTTTTTAATAGCCCTTTAGAGATTCTTTTTACCTACAATTTGATATATTATATATTTCTTTACTATAAATAGTTTTTAAGATATAAGCATTTTAAAAATTATATAGATTCCAAAATCTCTTTTTTGCACCTTTGAGCCCAGACATCTCGGAAACCAGGTGTACTAACGAGCTAAAATAAATGACTTTCTCATATATTTACCTATCTAAATAATTCCAGAAATTTATAACAATTTTAAAAGGGGTCGGCCGAAAATGTGCCAATTTTGATTGATTTGACAAGGAATATTATATAGAAGGGCCATTATTCCCATATAAATTTTAAAATAACCAAATTTATAATGTTTAATTTTATATATTATTTATTGACTTTTGGCATTTGAGTATATTTTAAAGCATTAGTATTGTAATAGCCTATATTATGAAAAGTAGATTTTGTGTTGTCTTGAAATGCAAGTATTTTCAAAGTTGTTCAAATCTGTTTTTTTATATTATTTCATATATTTATGAAATTTTTAATCTTAACTAATAATATCCATATGATGTGGCTTTATAAATTGATGTTGAATTCTAAATCAATATCATACTCTTAGAATATTTGTTTGCTCGTCTGACCTCATATTTTTTATTGTTTTATTTTTCTATAGAAAAAATTTAAATGGTCCGCATGAGTTAAACATTTCCGTTCCTTTTTACTTATAATATTCTCTTAAATGAATTAACCTGTAATAAAGATAAGTGCAAAATCATACTTAAAAATGACCATGAAACTCATTTGAAAAGACATAATTCTAAGGAACATGAATCCCTAACCATAAAAATATTAAAGCTTTCTAAATCTTTTTTGGCCTCAATATCGAAATCTAACCATAATATTTCTACTGAGCAGTCGATCAGGGTTAAAATGAATAAAAACAATAAATTCTTGTATAGAGTTATAATTCTTATATATTATTCATAGATAGATACTTATAATAAAAATAAATTAATTACATCTATTTTGTAAATAAACAATATATACTTAAGTGATGGAAAATTTTAATATATAATATTCATAATTATTAATTAAAATCATAATGGTGTTGCTTGATTAATAATTTAAAATTTTTTTTATAACAGCAATGAACCTTTATAAATTTTTATAGTAATCGAACCGTAATCTTTATATATAGAACCGTAACCAAACCGAACGGTTATAAATAAAAGTTCGGGTCCTTGTACATATATTTATTGAAACTCAATTATAAATTTACTGTTAGATACTCACACAACACATATTTTTGCTAACCAATTAATTCTTTTTATTTTAAGATTCAATATTCAAATTAACTTGAATAAATCTTTTATTTATAGTAAGTTAAATTCGTTTTTGAATTTTTTCATTTTTGTATAAATTGAAAATGGATATTATTATATTCGATTTAGTGTTCTCATATTTTCTTTTAATTAAAAACAGCTATTATTATTCTTATATTTGGTTATTCTATCTAGGCATAACTTAAAATATCATTTTTCTTCCAATTTTGGATAATTGTTTATTTAGATAAAAAATATATAGACTATATATATTTTATAGATAGATCATTAATAAATTGTTACTTATTTGCATTACCTTATGATAATATAAGATTAATAAATGATTACTTATTTGCTTTACCTAAATCGAAAATTTAACATTAGGTTATATAGTATCCCTCAAATTTTATAACATTAAGATGATAGGAAAGATGAGAGATAAAATTAAAATAAAGAAGATAGGAAATCGATCACTTATATATTATGGAGATTATAAATTAGATAATCCATTTTTTATTTTTCTTTTATAAATAATTTTAAAATTATGCGGAAAATAAATAATGGCATTTTGATGATGATAAACAAAGCAATACAGTTTTATTTTTTTTAAGGGTTCATAATCTGTATTAACAACAATATTGATTAAATTATTTAAGATATGAAACTAGTTCTAAAACCGCGTAATCATCTGTTAACTTATAAAGCCTTTAACTGTAAACATTAAAAATGAGGAATTATTATTTTTTAACAAAATTTTCAACAAGCATCTCTCTCAATCTTTTTGTTATTTAAGATGATCTAAAAAAACCTAAGAGAAAAATCAAAATAGCAAAAACAGCTTCCCGAATCAAGCTGTTTATAATATATCTCTGAATCGCGGGTCGGAATAAATAGACTGTTTATACTAAAAAGGAATTTTAATAAATAGGACCCGAAATTTCAATCCCCAGGGGATGAGGATACGTTGAGCATCTTCTTCAACTTACCGGCCAATTTGTTTAATGTTTCCTCGCTAGAATCAGTCCCACTAGAAGGAGCCGATACACTCAGGCTCCGGGAAGTATGATCCTTGTTTTTCTTCCTATTCTTTTTCTTGTAACGCAATTGTTTGGGTATTTTATCGAAGGTAGCGACTGATTTTTTATTGCCCTTAAAAATGCCTTCCAAATTCTCGGAGAAAGTAGAGGGAGATTCAACAGATTTCTTATGTTCTTGAATAAGGATGCTTGTAATATACATATAGATAAAAAATTGAATTGGTATTTTAGATTTGATAAAAAAATGATTGAATTAAAAAATTATATATTTATAAGAAATCGGAAATTTATATTAACTTTTTGAACTATGATAAGTTGTTATGCATTTTTTGTATTTATTACCATTTCAAATAAATATTTTTTATTATATTATATTTTAAATATAAATCCATAATTAATCTCTAATATTAATTATTCGAGTTCAAGAACAGAATAAAAATCTTATATGTTTCATCCTATTTTATTAAAATGAGCAACATTCATACTAAAAATTAAATTGAAGAAATAATTTTTTTGAAAAAGAAGATATAGAACTAGAATATATAGATTACAATTCCAGCAAGTTAAGATATTATGATAGAGTCCCAATATATATCATCTTATAGCCCATAAAATTATATATTGGAAAATTAAAAAAAAAATTTTTATATGAAAAAAGTAACAATGTTGATAAGGGAATTTTTTGGATGTTGATATTGGCTAGGAATGTTTATTACCTTTATATTAAACTGTTTAATCAAAAAAAAATTAATTGCGTCTTTTCGTTCAAATAATTTTAGCAATTTATTGATGTATATTATTGTATAGGGATTTACAAATTGTAATCGACCGGATTATTTGAACCTGAACCCTCAATTAAACATATTTTTGTAAGGTTGGATCAGAGATTACTTAAAAAATATATTTCTCCAACCAATCTGATTTAAAATATATTAAAAAATTAAAGATTTTTATGGTATCAGCATATTTATTTTTCTTTCTGTTATTCTTAAATCGATAAATAGGAAATTTAATTTCATCAATTAATGATTTGAAAAGAGCATAAGATTTAAAAAAATATTTATTTATTGACTTTTAATTTTTTTTTATAATTTAGTAAAAATTGATATTTTTATTACACTTGATATGTTGATATTGTAAAAATCTTTTATGAAATCTTTATGTAGGGATTTCCATGCTGTAGAATAAGGCTATTTAAAAAAGTCTAAAAAAAGTTAATTTAGATTAAATGCATGGATTGGAACCATCTTAATTTCTTCTGAATTTTTAATAATTATAATGATTATTTTAAATATATAAAACTAGGTGACACCAAGCATTATTAAATAATCTAAAGTCTATTAACATAGTTCAATCATTATTTATGTCACACATGTTGCTTATATTTGATAAAGATGGAATCTATTGAGGATATTTGAGAATGAAGAGCCTGAACCAGCCCATCTAGTTCAACCTTGCATATAGTAAATACATCGCTGAAAGAATTGGGCCAATTCCCAATAAAAAGAATTATTCGCAAAACAAAATAATAACGAAATTATTAGTTAAAAAAAATATTAAAAATCAGCTTTCCTGAGCCTGATATACAAAATAATAAACTTCTTGGACATTTAAGACATAATTATGAAATTATTTATTTAGAAGGAAAAAAATATCTTCTTACTATGTTGCCCCCATCTTGGGCCTCCAAAAACTTGAGATGGAGTTCAAAGTTACCAATTACTTGAGATGGAGTTCAAAGTTACCAATTACTTGGTGAGAAATTCTAAAAAACTGATAGAATAACAAGGATTTATATGTTATCTCCTAATATAACCTGGGTGATCAGGAAACCATGAATATTATAGACAAATTTACTCTTCTAATGAAATCAGTCGCCCCTATTGAAGAGAGACTATAAATCCATAATGATTAAAGTGAAAATAGAGCAGTCTCAAAAATAAGTTAATTATAAAAATATTTTTGAACGTAAAAAAAAATTTTTTTTTTAAATTTATAAAATACAAATTAAATGAATGAATTTAAATATTGACCATACATATATATCACCAAAAATGGTACTGCAAATATAACATATGAATCAATATTTATGATGTCTGATGAATATGATTCCTAACAAACTGAACTTTAGCAAAAATTTCGATGATTATGCAGACCAGATTGAGTGTGATAAATAATGAATAAAATTTAAGCGTTTTTAAAAATGCACCCTAAACATAATATTGCCACATCAAATAAAGATAATAATGATAATCAAAAATCTCAACAGATATTCCTGAATTCTACAGAACGTTCTGTTATGTACAATAGAATATTAAGTCAAGAAATTCTAACATTAGATAAAGCATTATTAATTACAGAAAACTGATTACATGAATAACAATACTGGTAAAACTAGAAAAATGAATTTTTCAGAAGGAAATCATATGTTTATATATTTTGAAAATACTAATATTTTGAAGATAGTGAAGGATATTCAAATTAAAGGATAAGTGCTTTTATATATTATATTTGCTTACTTTATTCTTATTATGCTATCTTTTCCAAATACAATTGGATCTTAGATTATATTATGCCCTTATAAGATTTATAGTAAAATAAATTAGTTGATTAATTAGCCATTATCATTTCTTAATCTAAGAGTAGTCTTAGATAGTATTTAAATTCTAAATTTTACAGTAGGTTTTTGTCTTTTCTCAGTTTCTCAATTTATCTTTTAATATCAAACTGATAGTGACAACCACTAATAGTTTAGTAAATAGTTTTCCTTCATTATTGCATCTTTTAAGTTCTGATTTTATTTTGTCCTAATTTATAGTTTTTTAGAATTAGTAGTTGCTTATTTGGTCATTGCCCTTTTACTACAGGAGTTGTTTTAGATAGTGTTATGTTCTACCCCCCCCCCTTGTCCCGTACAACTTATTTCTTTTTTTTCTCCACTTGTTTCTTTTGTTTTCCCATCTTCCTTTATTTTGTTATGAAATTGATATATTATACCTTATTTTTATATTGCATTTGAAACTGGTTCTTACCAGTTTCATGAATGATTGTATCGCGATTAAATAACATCTTTTTTTCCTCATTGTTTTAAAAATTATAAAGGTTGAAAACAAAACACCTTTTTGGATCATTAATTATTTTTCTTTCGTTTTGAAAATTGATATTTTTCTGTAATTTTACTTTGTTGAATAAACTTTGAAAATATTATTTTAACTACGTTGTCCAAGTGATTCCAGGACTAAATCGATAAAACCCGGCCCCCTGGATCCCGTCATCGACCATCCCGGACCCCCGATCACGGACTGTATTTTTCCCATTCAGACTGGGGGACCCATCGGTCCAAATACTAAGGTCCAAATATTACACTGGCGCCCAAAGTACATTCGATAATCTACGACCCGGAAGAACCAACAGATCATTACCTCGAACGTTTTATGCTTATCCACCGCATCAACCTGAGGCAAATTTACTATCCTTATTCTTATCATCATGCGGTCACAGCCTATATTCAAAATTAAAATTAGCCTTTGCACCAAGGCCTATGTTGGAAATGTCAATAGAGGACGTAAAAGCGATTTTGGGAAACAATAATAACAACAAAGGTCTATCAATCAACAAGCTTCGTCAACGCATCCAGCAAGAGGGCTGAACGATTACTGAATATGCGGAAGCTTTGAAAGCTTTGGCCTCACAGTGCGATCTAGGCCCCAGCTGGGACCTTTTCCTGTCCTCCCAATTCGGAGCGGGGATACAATCCTCCGGAATAAGAGGTCACGTAATCACGTCCGATAATATAACGACGTTTAAAGGGAAGCTAAAAATTGCGCAAACCTGGGATATGGCCGAAGCGCTTAACCAAAATAATGCGACGAACCACGCCTACAGCAACCAAATAAACATACCCACAAAGTATATGCATGTACAAAACACCCCACAAACTTTAGAGAATTACTATCAACCCCCATGTCGGAATTTCCCACGGAATGATAACCCAACCTGTTATAATTGCGGGAACGTGGGGCATTATAAATACAATTGCCCAATGAAACAAACTTTCAACAATTATAACTCCTCTCGGTATACTCCTCTAAATATACCTACGACCCAACCCAACGTACCAGACGAAACGACTGCGTACAAACAGACTCAACAAATTTCAAATAACCCACATGATCTCTTGGACCTACCACCCCGGGGTAGCCCAATTTAAGCGGGGAGGAGAATGCCGTATTTCCACAAAAACACCTTTTTTCCCCTCCTTTTTTTTAAACATTGTATTTTGATTTTATATATATTATTTTTTTTTGTGGTCATCCACCTGTTACAAATCCCTTTTTTTTATATGACCTCCACGTGTTTTCAAAATTTAGTCGTAATTAAATCCGCTCTAAACCAGCGGTGCGGCGAATGCCGTTTTATTTATTTTATTGACTTAAGGTAGGGTTTACCTACGTTATTAAATCCGCTCTAAGCCAGCGGTGCGGCGAATGCCCTTTTATTTATTTTATTGACTTAAGGTAGGATCTACCTTCGTTATTAAATCCGCTCTAAACCAGCGGTACGGCGAATGCCGTTTTATTTATTTTTGTAGGAATTAAGAATGAAATCGGCGCCGACGGCCGGGTAGCCGTATTTAAGAGGGGAGGAGTGATTTAAGAGGGGAGGAGTGTTATGTTCTTCCCCCCCCCCTTGTCCCGTACAACTTATTTCTTTTGTTTTCCCATCTTCCTTTATTTTGTTATGAAATTGATAAATTATACCTTATTTTTATATTGCATATGAAACTGGTTCTTACCAGTTTCATGAATGATTGTATCGCGATTAAATAACAACTTTTTTTCCTCATTGTTTTAAAAATTATAAAGGTTGAAAACAAAACACCTTTTTGGATCATTAATAATTTTTCTTTCGTTTTGAAAATTGGTATTTTTTTGTAATTTTACTTTGTTGAATAAACTTTGAAAATATTATTTTAACTACGTTGTCCAAGTGATTCCAGGACTAAATCGATAAAACCCGGCCCCCTGGATCCCGTCATCGACCATCCCGGACCCCCGATCACGGACTGTATTTTTCCCATTCAGACTGGGGGACCGTCCAAATATTACAGATAGTTTCTTTAAAATCCTGAATTTATAGTAGTTTTTACTCTTCTTACATATATAATTACTTTAGTTAGTTTCAACTT